GGTCACCACTGCCAGAGCCCTCCCCCGACAGGCTTCCTCCCTGGCTTCCTTGCCTCCTCTTTTGCTCCTGGTGGGAGGAATCAATGATCCATGAAGATGTTTATGTTTCTGCATGATGAGAGCTTTATGAGGAAAAAGTTCCTGGAAGCCTGGGTTGCAGGATAATGAAATGGCCATTTCCCTTGGAAATCAGAGATTAAGTATTGCTCGAAAGATACTTGCTCACGTTCTACAGTAATAAATCCAGGGAACCTTATCGTATCTCCACTGGGGACATTTGGGTTGAAGCCCTTTAGAATTTGGCATCTCACTGGAGAGGATATTTTTATACTCCAGAACAAAGCTTTCTCTCTCTCTTCCTCTCCCTCTCTCTCTCTAAGAAGGGGGAATGTGCCAGCTGCACTGTATCAGTTCCAACACTCATAACACGGAGCCCCTGCCCTATGGTGCAAACTCTGCTGCACACACAGTTGGAAGCGTTGCATCACCCTCAGAGGAATTTGGGATTGAGGAGCCAGGGCTGCAATCCAGCTCTGGCTGCTATTGTTGCTGTGAGTGAGAAATGGGCTTCTCTGATCCAGGGGTTGCATCCGTCAGAATAGATATAGACATAGATGTCCACATAGGAACAAAGGTATAAACAATAGACACAGACACAAAGTCATGCACACACTCAAACACATAGACAAAGGCAGACGTAGGGGAAAACATAAACATAGACATGCCAATAGACACAGATACAAAGATATAGACACAGACATACACAGACACACACACTAAGGTAAAGACACAGGTATACACACAAAGACATAGATGCAAAGACTCAGAAAAAGACATAGACAGACATACAGAAAGACAAAGACACATGGACACAGACGTACACATAGACAAAGACATACATGCAGACATAGATATACATGTAGATATGAAGACATAGACATAGAAAGAGAGTAAAAGCTCAGACTCTTCGCAGTTTCAGACTTAGCAGTCTCTGCTGGCTGCACTCTAGAGGGTCGTCTCCAAAACCCATCTCTGACCTGTCCCTCCCTTTCTCAAAATAA